GTAATGAAACATGGTGAAAGACTTTAAAATCTCTGTTAACAATCTTCCACATGACTAAAACAAGATACTGAAAAATCATGCATTGATAAAATGTCTCTTCAGAGTCCAATGGCTGGGGGTATGGCTCAAGTAATAGAGCACCTGTCTAGCAAGCATGAGGCCCTCAGTTCAAACTCCAGTATGCCAAAAAACATGCCAAGTCCAGGACAGACTAACTGATTGTAGTGTAACAGTATGAGAAGTTCATTGGTATAGTTCAAGATTCTACATTGCAAATATCTTCAAGAAATTACAACTTGTCCAAGGCCCTGGGTTCATTATCCAGCAATAAAAAAAAAAGAAGGAAAGGAAAAAAAGAAAGTATCACTTGTTTTGTGGTGTCACTTCAGAGAAGAATGTCCACAATTATCTGAGTAGGCCATGCCAGATATGGTTGTATTTTCTTCAAACACTTCAACAAAAACAACATATTATAACAAGTTGAATGCAAAAGTAGATATGAATTCAACTTTCTTCCATTAAGACAGACATTGAAAACATCTGCAAAAAATGTAAAACAGGGCTGGTGGAATGACACAAGGGGTAGCACGCCAGCCTAGTGAGTATGAGGCCCTGAGTTAAAACCCCAGGACTGCTAATAATAATAATAATAATAATAAAATGTAAAACAATACTACTTTTCACAAGAATGCTTTTAGTAATTTTGGGGAATATAGTTGTTTTTGCATATAATGTAATATTACCATGGAATGGAATTATTGCTGTGGTAAATTAATAGATTTTTAAAATTTTATCAGTGCTAATTTCCACTGTAAATGCCCAGTGTTAATAAATATCTTTACATATAGCCTACACAAATGAAAGCTTTTTTGAGGTCCTTAGTAATTTTAAAGAGTATGAAACTATCTTGAGATCAAAAAATTTAGCCAGGCACCAGTGGCACATGCCTGTAATCCTAGCCATTCAGGAGGCAGAGATCAGGAGGATAGGGGCTTGAAGCCAGCCCAGGCAAATATTTCATAAGACCCTATTTCAAAAAATACCTAACACACAAAAAAAGGGCTGGTGGAGTGGCTCAAGATGTAGGCCCTGAGTTCAAGCCCGGTATCACAAAAAAAAATTTTTTTAACTGTAGAATTAATATATGAATTATTGGTTTGACATTGTTATTTTTTTTGTACAGTTGAATTCGTTAAGATATAATTTACAGCTGGGTGCTGGTGCTCACACCTGTAATCCTAGCTACTTGGGAGACTGATATTGGGAGGATCACAGTTGGAGGTCAATAATTCACAAGAACTCATCTCCAAAATAAACAGAGGTAAATGTGCTGAAGGTGTGGCTCAAGCAGTATAGTGACTGCTTTGCAAGCATGAAGCCCTGAGTTAAACCTCAGCTCCCCCCAAAAAGATACATTTTACAAACTGGGCCTTGGTGGCTCACGCCTATAATCCTGGCTATTTGGGAGGCAGAGATCAGAAGGATCATAGTTCCAGGCCAGCCCAGGAGGGATAAAAAAAATTCATGAGACCCCTGTCTCAACAGAAGAAAATGGTGATGTATATCTGCCATCCTAGCAACTGCAGTAGCCTAAAATAAGAGGATCATAGTCCAGGTTGACCTGAGCAAAAACTGAGACCCTATCTCCAAAATAATCAGAGCAAAAAGGGCTAGAGGCAATGGCTCAAGCAGAACAGCACCTGTCTAGCATAAAGCCCTGAGTTCAAACCCCAGTACCACCAAAAAAAAAAAGATAGTTTAATACAGTAAAATTTACCTTTTTTGAGGTACATCCTATGAATTCTGACAAATGCATATCCATACAACCACCACAGTTCATCACCTAAAAAATTTGTTCATATCCCCTCCTTTTTTTCTAAGATACAGGGACTCAGTGTGTAATCCAGGATGGACTAGAACTTGTGATCCTTGTGTCTCAGCTGGGATTACAGGTGTATACACCATGCCTGGCTCTTTTCATATCATTTTTATAGTCAATTTCCTCTACCCCTAGTCCCTGACATCTACTAATCTGTACTCTCTTTTGATAGTTTTGCTTTTCGAGAGTGCCATATAAAATGAAATTGTATAATGCAGAGATTTTTGTTCTGGTTTATTTACTTAACAGAGTGCTTTTGATATTCAAGCATGCTGTTGAATTCAATAGTTTTTTTTTTTTTTGCTGGGTAATGTACTAGGTATGGATGCATGTATGACAATTTATCTAGTCACCAGTTGATGGATATTTGGGTTGTTTACAGTTTGAAGATTTTGAATAAAGCTGTTTTAGTCCATTTGGGCTGCTCTAACAAAAGACCTTACAATGAGTAGTTTATAAACAACAGAAATTTATTTCTCACTGTTCTGGAGGGGGGAGTCCAAGGTCAAAGCAGATTCAGTGTTTGGGAAGGGCCCATTTCCCAGTCCACAGACTGTGCCTTCTACCCGTGGCCTCACCTGGTGGAAAGGCAAACAAGCTCTCTTGGGCCTTTTTAATCAAGGGCACTAATCCCACTCATGAGGACTCTGTCTTCAAAATCTCATCACTTCCAAATAGCTCCCCCCAATACCATCACCTGGTAAGGGTAGGATTCTAACATCTGGATGTGATGGGGCCATAGCATGGTTAACAAATAGGTTTCCACGTGGGTGTACATCTTCATTCTTTTGGGTAAATACCTACAAATATGAAAGCTGAATAACATGGTAAGTGTATGCTTGACTTTACAAGAAACTGCCAAACTGCTTTCCAAGGAGGCTGAGCATTTTTGCATTCCTACAAACAATGTGTGCCACATTCTCCCCAGCACTTGGTATTATTAGTTTCCCTCCCCCTCTTTTTAATTTTAGCCACTCTAAATAGGTACTAGTGGTTGTCACTAAATTTTTTAAATACTTATTTTCATTTTCCCCAAGTAAATAGTTAACTGCCTAGAGGAAGGGATTATACATCTAATGTAGCTGCCAGTTATCATTAGAACAGTGTCTGTTACATAGACGTAAATAGTAAACTTTACTAACCCATCAATCAAAATGTAGGAAAAGAGGTCCCCCAGTGATGTTTGGCAAGCACCTGTGGTATCTATTTAAATCACTATGTGGTCCTTTTTATCAAAGCTCTGTATAAATCAAATGATCTTGCCCATATAATTCTTCAAGATGTGGCAATAGAAAAGAAGCTTTCTCCACATTTAAGTGCTTACCACCATTATGGAGATTTCATTGTGGATAACCCTCCAGACACTTATCTCCTCCTTCTTCCCTGTACTCCACTGAGGCCTCACCTCAGCATTACTGTGTCTTGGAACTGATCCATATGCCAGTGTAATTTTTTTTTTGGCTGTACTAGGGTTTGAACTCAGGGCTTCACACTTTCTGTGCAGGAGCTCTACCACCTGAGCCACTCCACCAGTCTTTTGTGTGTGTGTGTGTGTGTGTGTGTGGGGTATTTTCGAGATAGGGTCTCATGAACTATTTGCCAGCGCTGGCTTCCAAACTGCAATCCTCCTGATCTCTGCCTCCTGAGTAGCTAAGAGTACAGGCATGAGCCACCAGCACCCATTTTTCCCATTTTTACATTTTAGCAGTAATAAGAGATACACAGGATCATTTGTGTATGTGTGGCACTAGGGACCAAACCCAGGACCTCAAACATGCTAGGCAAGTACCCTACCATAGAGTTACACCTCCAGTTCTCTATATGTCACTTTTAAGTGATTACATACCAATCTACAATTATCTAAAAATGAATTCAATTTAATTTTTAAAATACAAATTTGAAGTCAAATTTTTTTCAGGACTGATGGACTAATTGTCCTTTGTGTATCTGACTAGTTTCAGTCATCTTTTCCCAGCAACAGATAGCACCATCACCAACAACTCCTAACATTTATTGGGCATTTGTTTTATGATAAGGAACTCTGCATACTAATTTTATGTGCTAAGAACTTTACATGTACTAACTCACTTAACCCACATAACAACTGCAAATTCTACTTCTAGGAAGTAGCAGCCTCAGACACCATTTCTCAACTCCATCATCCACTTTCTACTGCTTTTCTTCCTTTACTAATGACAAGAGAAGTAGAGGAATCATCCTTCTGGCTAAGGGCAAACCTAGTACTTAAGCACTGGATCCCCTCCTCAGGAACCTCATTCCATCGGATGTCATTTTCCTTGTATTTTAAACTTCTCCCTTTGTTTGTGTTGCTAGAATTTAGATAAGTTTCTGTCTCCTCCTATCTTAAAAGTAGTAAGAATAGACTGGGGGGGGGTGTAGCTCAGTGGCGTTGGCTTGTCTAGAATGCCCTAGGCCCTGGGCTCATCCCTAGCCCCCAAAATAAACAAAATACTGAAACAATAAGAACAATAATAAAGCCTTCCCCCAACCTTATTAAGCATCAGCCCTTATCACTCTTCTTCAATTAATCACACTTTGGAACTGTTCACATTTACTGTTTCCACTTCTAAGCTTCCATCCTCTGCCCAATCCACTAAACCTGGTTTCTGCTCCCCCTTCAGGAAGCCAGACCTCTTTGTCGCATTTGACCCCAGCACCTTATTCCTTCATTTAAACCCTGGTTAGCCTCTCTTTGGGCTTCTCGGACGTCAAACCTTCTCCGCCCAAGCCCTCCCACCGCCCCTCCCCCGGGACAGTTGAGGTGACAAAAGTGACCCAAAAAAGAGGGAAACAAAGTTACAATAAAGTGGGGCGTCGAATGGAGAAGGCGGCAAAGGTGGGTGTGAATCGCATTTTAAGAGGGGACTTGGAAGAAAAGAGTCACAGTGTGACTTTCGCCCTCACTTTTCATCCTCTGTCACGCATCACTTTCGCGCTCCTTCTTTCCTAATCCTTTGCAAAAAAGCTAGAGTTTCCTGACACCAGCAAGTGCCGAGGGCCGGCCCGTAGCCGGCGGAACCCGGGCGTCGGACACAGGTTGCAGCTCGGCGGCGGCGGAAGCGTGCGCGCGTGCGTGGCGGAACTTCCGGCGCCGGGCCGAAATGCCTGATGCCTCCGGAGGTGTGGAAACATTGCTCTGGGCATCTCGTCGCGGTTCCAGCATGCGCGGCTGCAGTGCCAGTCCCCTCTAAGGCGGTGTGGGATTCCCGGAAGGCGGGGCGAGGCCGTTGTCCCCGCATCTTCTGCTCCGGCCTGCAGTGCTGAAAAGGAGCTAGGTGGGGACTAGGAGGGGACTAGAAGGAAAGACTGGGTTGCGTGAGGTTTTCCTGCACAACCTTGGTGGTTAAGCTTCGTAATCCCACACTTTGAAAAAGAAAAAAATAATGAAGAAACTAAAGCTTAAGGAGCTAGAGAGTCGCCTGCAACAAGTGGACGGATTCGAAAAGCCCAAGCTACTTCTAGAGCAGTATCCGACCCAGCCGCACATCGCAGGTAGGGCGGCTGGCTCGCCGTGCCTTGGGCTGCCGGGGTGAGTCCTGACCCCTCCCGGAGGGAAGTAACCTTGGTTTGAATACAAAGAACGTCCACATCCCTCCCTGAGATCAGGTGTCACGTTAGAAGCAACCTTCCACACCTCAACACACACCCTTGCTTTACTGTTTGGTTTTCTGCGAACCCCTTAACACGATCGGATCCCATTTCAGTCTGTTTCCCTCATCACACAACAAATTCTGGAAGGCCAAGGCTTTTTAGTCTGGTTCACACCCTAATTCCCAGTGTCTGCCAGAGTTGCTCGTTCTATTTTAGGAGCTCAGCTTACATTTGCTAAATAAGGATCGATTTCCTACTCGCAGCAAATTGCCAGGACAAGGATTTCTGTATTATCTCTAGAAATCGGACTACCAGAGTTGGTAGTGGAAGGACTGAACTTAACAGAACCAGAGTATATGCTTGTGTAAAAATGAGGATACATTTCAAGGTTAACACATGATCCTTTGCTCGATGCCAGAGATTGACAGAGTATGAGAGGATGGGAAGATCCACTCATAGTTAATAAATGTATTACCAAAGTCATTGGGAAGCATTAGCAAAATTGATTTGCTGGAAGTGCCTGCAAGGCACCATTTCCAAAATAGTTGTTTCTCAGCTACCAATGAAAATCATGGAGAATATGTATATGCATACTGCACTTAAAGATATTGTCATAATTCCAACCAAAGATTTGCACAAAACTACTATATCTAGGTTAGGCCAATTTTCTCAAATAATGACTTCCTACAGTCTTCTGTCTTCAGAGTTTTGAGGTGGAATCCAATTTTTGTAAAACTAAATATTAGTTGTTTCACAGTGGTTTGTAACATGCACATGGATGTGCTCTTTTTTGAGATACCAGCTTCAAAATTTCTAATGCCTTTAGCAATAATAAAAACAGGGGTTAAAAAAAAAAAACAGGAGTCAGTCTGAGATGTCCTTGTAATTGTGTTTTTAATCAAACCTCTGTTTCCTCAGACATGAGTGATGGCCAGCAGCCCTTGCTAAGTTCAGATATGCACAAGGAGTTAGCACAGTGGTGTTATTCATACTTAACACAGTGTACGTAAGAGACTTGTGTTTGAAAATTCTCATCTCAGCAGCTTCTGCCCTCATTTGTTCTGTTATCAGGTCTTATTTGTAGATTGTGCCTGTCTGTAAATAATGAATATGGGTCTAATGGCTATAGTGTGTAGGAGCTTAGGAGACCTGTGTTCTGGTGACAAACTTGTTGCAAAAAAGTTCTGGGCCTTTTTTTTTTTTGCACAGCATTTGGGTTTGAACTCAGAGCCTCCCACTTGATAGGCAGGTGCTCTGCCACTTGAACCATTAGCCAGCCTGACTGGGCCCTTTTAATACCAGTGCTTGTTTGATATTAGTGGTTCCTAGACTTGCAGACTTCACAGATCAGTAAAATTTCAAAAGTTTTGGAGACTGATGCAGGGTTACCAAATTTATATTTTGACAAGGAAGGATATATTTAAAACCTATGTACTCTTACTATTCTGTCATTAAAATAGTTCGTCACCAAAGAAAAACTATATATAGTTGTGTGTGTATGTATGTATGTATGTATGTAGAGCAATGTTTTGAACAGGCTGAGGATAAAACCATCTTGACTTTATTTTTCTCATTTTACTTGAGAGACTGGTCAGAGTTTTGTTATTCTGGGTATAATCACCAGAGACAGGTTTTGGGAAACCATCGGTGTATGTTATCCTCTTTCATGGTGCCTCTTATTACGTACTAAATTGTCACACCTTAACCATTTTTAAATAATCTGTAACACCATTTGGGAGAGGACTAAAGTGATACAAATCATTTTAGAGTTACTTGCACAAATTGGATTTTAGTTATGATCTTGCTACTTATTCTTTAATTTTTTTTTTATCTTTTCAGCATGTATGCTTTATACAATCCATAACACATATGATGACATTGAAGATAAAGTAGTTGCAGATCTAGGATGTGGTTGTGGAGTACTCAGCATCGGAACTGCAATGTTAGGAGCTGGGTAGGTGATCCAGATTATCTTATTCAGATATGGGGTGCTTTAAGAAGTATAAATATGCCGGGTACCAGTGGCTCATGCCTATAATCCTAGCTACTTAGGAGGCAGAGAACAGGAGGATCACAGTTTGAAGCCAGTTCAGGCAAATAGTTTGCAAGACCTTATCTCAAAAAAAATACATCATAAAAATGGGCTGGTGGGGTGGCTCAAGGTGTAGGCCCTGAGTTCAAACCCCAGTACCAAAAAAAAAAAAAAATGTATAAATAGGGTCAACTGAATTATATTCATAGAACTCCACAGGATGAGATAAGGGAGCAATAATATGATACTGAGTATATTTTGAGTAGGCAGAAGATCTATCTATATGTACATGTATATTATTTAGAAAAAAAAATGGTAGCAACAGTCCTTTTTATACAAACCTGAGTTTCCAAACCTTAACAGGTTGGGATATCATGCTACTGCAAAGTAACACTATTGAAAAGTAACACTCCCATTTTGTCAGTTGGATTAAAAGATATATGGTAAAATAGCTACTTTTGTCTTGTGACATGGAAGCTCTAAGTTGTCACTCTGTTTTGTATTTGAAGGTTATGTGTTGGATTTGACATAGATGAAGATGCCTTGGAAGTATTTCATAGGAATGTGGAAGAGTTTGAATTAACAAATGTTGATATGGTTCAGTGTGATGTGTGTTCATTAGCTAACAGAATGTCCAAGTCGTTTGATACAGTAATTATGAACCCTCCCTTTGGCACCAAAAATAATAAAGGTTAGTAACAAGAATCAGGTATACTGCTGGATTTATAGAAAAGCAAATTTTATCTTTTTTATTTATTTTCTTTGGACAGTAGTAGGGTTTGAACTCAGGGCTTTGAGGTTACTAGGCTCTATCACTTGAGCTATACCTCCAGCCCAAACAACCAAATTTTAAAAATCATTTTATCATTGAGTGGGTTAAGCAAGTTTATTCCGGTTTATTAAATAAAGCAATCTTTCTCATCTTTATAGTTATTACAGGTTAAATTTGAACCTGCTTAGTATTTGATTATAAAATTGGATTTTGCAATCTTGTTTTCATAAATTTCTATTAACAGTCTGTCATTTATGACTGAGTGATTTGGCTGACCCTGATTAGGAAATCTGTAAAGGACTTTATACTTTCATGGGCTTGGGGAGGGGAAGAGAAAGAATCCAAGGGGGTTGAACTTAGGACTTCACACATGCTAAGCACATACTCTACATTGAGCCGCTAAAACATGTTGTTTAATGCCTTACCATATCTGAGGTTTCAGAACGTTCTCATCAGTAAGTGACTCACTATGGTTATTAATTTTGTTTGTACTGTGGGCAAGGAGTAAGACGTCCATAAGAAGAAAAAACATGTCCTACCATTACTCTCCATGTTCCCTTCTCCACATTTTTGAAGTAATAACGTGGAATATGTTAGCCTCATTTCTTAACCAAAACAGTGTAATTCAGCTTTATTCTACCTATCTTAACAAAATATTTTGGTATTTTATTTATCTGTACCTTGAGAATGGAGAAATAACTTGAAGCAGCTGTTTTGGAGTTTGGAAAAAAATGCTATTTAATCTACTATTTTGAAAAGTACATGATGCAAATAGAAGCTTTGTTTTTTACTCTTCACAGGGACAGATATGGCTTTTGTAAAGACTGCTTTGGAAATGGCAAGAACAGCAGTATATTCTTTACACAAATCTTCAACGAGAGAAGTAAGTTCAAATCATAGTACTGTCAATTCATTTTTAAATTTGTGAGTGTTCTAAGGATTTGCTATGAATGCTAACTACTATAATGTCTATTTCTCCTAACTTTTTTGACATCTAGTACTAAGAAACTTAATTTTCCCTTTGGCTAGCATCTATGATTAGCTTTTCCAGCCAACATGAGTGTGGGACTGTAGTTCAGGAATACAGCAATCAGTCTAATGAGAATTACAAAATGCTGTGGTTTGCCTGGGTAAGTCATGCTTGATTAATGCCTTTTGTCATCGTGCCACTATACAGCTCGTGTGCATAAGAGAGGCACTAAGGTCTATTTTTTAAAAACACTGAGCCTAAAGCAAAACAGATCTGACTTCACAAACCACCTATCCTATTATTCTTTTTGCCAGCATATAACACATAGGGGTGTGTAAGATGTATTCCAGGACAATTGGGGGTAGGGGAAATACTTTTTTTAAATGTAAGTATAATACAGTGATTGAGAAAACACTGGAGCTGGCAGTAATGGCTCAAGCCTATAATCTCAGCTACTCCAGAGGCAGAGATTGGGAGGATCACTGTTCGAGGCCAGTCCAGGCAAAAAGTTAGCGAGACCCCATCTCAGCAAAAAAGCCAGGCATGGTAGTATGCGCCTGTGATCGTAGCTTCATGGGAGACCTAAGTAAGAGGACCAAGGTCTAGGCCAATCTGAGCAAAAAGTACAAGACCCTACCTGAAAAAAATAACTTAAGGCAAAAAAAGGCTTGGGGGAATGACTCAACTGGTACTTTGTCAGCAAGTGCAAAACCCTGAGTTCAAACCTTTTTACTACCAAAAACAAAAACAAAACCACCAAACCAAACAGACTTGAATCAGATATAACCTCTGCTGTATTTCAGCTATTTTATCTTGGTCAAGGCACTTAAACTTCACTTCCCTTTACTATCCTTAGTGTAAAGAACTAGAGTGCCTTACTATACCTCAAACAGTTTTGAGAATTAAATGATTTAATATTCATAAAGCACTTAGTGTGTCATGTCTAATTGCCTATGTATTAGCTATTATTACTTTAAGTCATACATCTATTAAGAGGTTTTAAAGTGCTTTTTTTTTTTTTTTTTTTTTTTTTTAGGAAAAACATTATATTCACACCTGATTGACACCAGGTTTCCCCCAGTCTTCACTAGTGTACCTTTTCTTTTGCTGATCTGGCTCCCTTTTGCTGCAATAAATCACAGCCAGAAGTATGACCATATGCTGGGTCTTGTGAGGTTTCCAAGTGAATTATCAAAACTGAGGGTGCCTTGGGTACCATAACATAAGCTTTTTAGATACAAAATATGTACTGGTGTTTACTTTCATATCATGTTACTGGTATATTCTTTTGGTTTGATTTTATACCCCTTACAGGGTTATTAGAATACCATATACCTAGAATTATTTGTACCTGAGTTCCTATATACCGTTCATGAACTATGGCAACACAGTGAAACATTGCCAACCTGGGAAGCTCAGTAGTGACTCAGTGCATGTGGTTTTTATTGAGCACTGATCATAAGCATTCCCTCTTTCTGACATACACAAAATTCCATATTCAATAGAAAGACAGATGTTCAGCATATATAGTTTAGAAACAGTGGCCACTCATTAATTAAGGAGGTAGAAAATGGAAACCCTCCCAATTAAAAAAAAAGTTTCCATGCTCTAGCTAAGGGCCAAATTTGGAAATAGGCACTAGGAATTATAAGCAGTTGGATTTCTGTGAACTCTTTCCTGTAAAACTTGGCATAACATTAATTTTATATAATTCATACAGTTCATGCAGTAAAACTGCCAGAAAAAAAGAAAAGGTCCAACTATGCAGTATATCTAGTTAACTGTATTTGAATAACTCCATCTTAGCTCTTTGGCATTGCCATGTCTTATCACTAGGAGGCAGCATTCGTTAGCATTGCCTCGGCAGGCTTCATGGTGGAATTTTTTAGTGAATATTTCATTAAGTTCTTTTTTCACTTAGTGCAGAGATATTAGATATTGTGTATACTGGGAAGGGGGTATGAGAAATGAACTTCTAATATTAAGACAGTCCCTATTTTATACTTTAGCCATACACTGCTTTAGGCTTGATTTTAAGTATTTTATTTAACCAGTAACAATGTCAATGAACTTCACCCCAGACCCTTTAAATAGACTTTTTTAAAAAGTGCCTGACTTTCTATTCATAATATATATGCTTTTGATACAAAGCAACTGATATAAATATTTAGGTTAAAAAATAAGTGTATACTGGTAGATATGCCAATAATCCATGACTCAAAGTTGGTAACTTTTTATCTCATGCCACACTGTTGAGAATGTAGTTCTTGGCTCATAGTTAGGCTTGACAAAGAACCCAAGCCTGTCACTGTTTTTTGAGTTTATTACAAGATTACCCCATTTGTTCTTTCACACCTCTAACGGAACAAACCATACCCTATTATATAGCCTTAGGTCAGTGTCACTAGCCATAGAGCTGAGGATAGCAAAGAAATGTCATGATTTTCATACATTTATCAAAATATCTTAAGAGTCAATCAAATTATAATATTGCTTGCAACAGAGTCCGTATACTTATGCAGAAGTCCTAGATTTTCTTTTTTTTAACAGTACCTGGGTTTGAACTCAGGGCCTATACCTTGAGCCACTCCACCAGCCATTTTTCGTGAAGGGTTTTTTCTAGATAAGGTCTCATGAACTATTTGCCTGGGCTGTCTTCAAACCAGGATCCTCCTGAGTAGCTAGGATTATAGGCATAAACCACCGGCACCCAGTTCTAGATATTTTAAATAGGAAGAAAATATGCCCAGAACTGGGATTAAGTTTAGGAAACCCCACAAGCACAAACATAGCCATATTACTTATAACACTGGAATCATCTGAACCTAAAATATTGGGAAAATGTAAGAAGACTACCAACATGGACAAAATGTTGGCATCTCTATCATCTCCAGAAAATTATGCATATGTAATTTATTTAGAGGATTTTGGTCAACTTTTTTCATTTTGGTTGATTTGGGAATGTTTTTTGTATATACACACGCACACATTTTATATACATGTAAAATTTATATCTATATATACAGATTTTTTATATATATAAAACAAATATATGTTTTAAATGAAGCAATTTAAAATAGGAAATTAGTAACTAAAAATTCTTTGTGAGGGCTGGCAGAGTGGCTCAAGAGATGAATGCCTGCCTAGCAAGTATGAAGTTGAGTTCAAACCCCAATACTGGCCCCAATAAAAAGCTAACTAGGTAAAATAAATACAAATTCTTTGTGAAGTGATTTAAGTTTTTAGACCTATAAAGAGCTAACATAGATGCCAAGATGACAACTAGAGGGAGGAATCAGAAAGTGTGCTTCCTAAACTCTTGGAGAGACGCTGGAGGTACACCTGGCAGGAAAAACCACCAGTAAGAGGCAAAAACTCTGATACCTCCACACCCCCAGCCCACGCACAGCGTCCCCAGTCCACCTTAAACAGACAAACCAGGAGGGCTCCCGTGCTGCCAGATGCTAGTTCCTAACCTTCTTGGGAGACCACCAGGAGAGCAAATATGTGGCATGTGGTACTTACTCCCTGGGACAAATCAGCATACCCCCTGGATAGACTGACCCCTGCCAAGGGAAAAAAGAAAAAAGTAATAATAATAAGCAGCTGAAAAAAAAAAAAGACACATAGCAAAGAGGGCAGGGAACCCTGAGCTCTGGAGAGTGGAGGAGGGGCACTCCTTCACACAAACTGTAAATAAACAAGCCAGCCCGAGAAGGCAGGACTGGCGGTCCCTGCCCAGCAACCTTGGAGAGGAGAAAGCTTGTAACAGCCATGGTCATGTGGAAAGCACCACCAGAGGGGGGCAGGGGCACTTCCCCACTCGAACTGTAAATAAACAAGCTGGAGAAGGTGGGTGTGGCACCACCTCCCCCAGTGTGCTTGCAGAGGGGAAGGTGTCCAATAGCAGCTACAGTGTGGAACGCTCAACCAGAGAGTGGTGGAGGGGCACCTGCCCATTCAAACACTAAATAAAAAAGGACTGCAATTGCAACAGGCAGGTAGGGCTGTATATTGGAGAAAACAAAAGGGGCATAAGGCCAGAATTCTAAATAAACAAAGCCTATGGGGGGGGGGGCTAGGTGAGTGTAAAGCTTATTCCTGAGATCTGCAATAAATAAAGCCTGCAGCAGCAGTTGGCTGACAGGTGGCAGGTGAGCCACAGCCTCAGATAGACATTCAAAAAGCTGTCTCCAGACTCCTTTTTTTTTTTTTTTTCCTCTCATGAGATGATGACAGAACTACTACTCAAACACCAACAACAGGAGTGGATGCTGAAGAACTAACACCAAAACTATTTGAGCCTGAAACTATTGCATTTGAACTTGGGAAATTTTTTTTTTAATCCTCTGTCTCTCTAATACCTGATTAGCTCACTGTAGATTAGTACACTATCTCTCCCTGTTTATTTCTTCAGCTCTGTTTTTTGTTTTGTTTTGTTTTGTTCCCTTTTTCTTTACCTTCTTTGCTTTCCCTCTCCTCTCACCCTTCCATTCTAGATATCATTATTGTTACTATTACAAGCTAGACAATACTGAATTACACACAGTACAGGGACAGTAACAGTAGCAAGGGGAATGATGGGAAGATGGAAAAAACGGAAACCATTTTCCCCCCAATAATAAATTAGTACAGGAACCAGGGGGAAATGAAGAAAACAGATGCCCAGATCAAGACTCCAACAAAATGAAGATAAACTATGCCAATGAACCCAATGAAGCCCACAGAACATCCTGAAAGAAGAAATCATACAAGTAATCAATGAGAATTTTATAGAGATGATACTGGATATGGTCAACCAAAATGTGCAGGAGACACTCAAGAAATTCCACGACAAAAATATAGAATTTGAGAAAGCAGAAGAACAAATAAACTATAGAAGCACTGTGTAAACACCAAAGTGAAACAAAGAA